TTAATTATAAATTAATAAAATTAAACGAATAAAATCAAATATTTTAGTCATCAAAAACCGTTTACGCAGTCTACTATTCCAAATATAACTGGACTGTTCTATGTCTTATTTTCGAACCACAGAGCTTTAGGTATCTTACAGTCTAGAAGATTAAAACAAGGATGGTTTTTTTTTTTATTATTAATAGGTATTTTCATTAGTAATTTTTGTTAGTAAATGCGTTTACCTGAACAATGCAATGATGTTAATTATACGTAATGGTTACAATAACAAAGAGATGACAAATTGTTATAATGGGTTAAAATGAAGAAGAAAGAATAAAGGTTGCATGCATTTATGAATAAAAAATTACCATTTTTGGTAAGACCGATTGTTATAATCGTTACATATGTTAAATGTACGTATCAATACATTTTATATTTATTTCGTTGTATATAAATTTATAGTATAAATAGGAACTTTCAACCTGATGGTTTTTTTATTAGTACAAAACATGAATTTCGAAATTTCTATACAAGATTTGATTAGAATAGTTTGGATATTCGCATTAATCTATGTATTGAAATTTGTTTATGATGTATGTATATGATATATATATATAATTATATAATTATAAATAAAATAAATTGCAAGGACATATAGATAATTAACATGTTACTTTGAAATTAAGACGATATACATTGCGTATTTTGGTCCGCTTAGTAAGATTCCAGGTCCTAAAGTCTCTCATTTAACAAAATTTTACATTGGTGTGAAGCAAATTAATGGACAAAGGTATATATGTTTGAAGTTAAGAAAATGCTAGATTATTAACTGATCTATTAACATAATTACGTTTATTTAGATGGAAATGGTTACAAAATGAAATCGTTCCAAAATACGGAAAAATAGTTCGTATTTGTAAGTTTTTCTTTTTTTTTAAATTTCTACTTTGGATTTTGTATCGCAAAATAAAATTTCAAAATTTATGTTCATAATCTCTTTTCATAATAGCTCCGGACGCTGTAGTATTCTCTGACAAAGATATCGTTAAACAGGTATTTGTTCTTTCCATGTATGCCTCACTTTAAAGATTCGTTTTCTGATACATAGTTTTCTTACCTCTTTTTTCTTATCAAGTTTTTAGTGACAAACGTAAATCTGCTTAATTTTTGGATTAAATGCATTTGTTTTGTAATCATTAAATAACATGAGAAATATCTAAACTTTTAAGGAATTACCGAAAAATAAAAATTATGAACGTTTGCGCATTGATGAGAAATACTCAACCTTATTCACAGCCAGGTAAATGTCGACCTTCTGCTTTAAGAATATTTATTAATATATATATTATTTTACGGTTTCTTTAATAAAATTCATTTGTTTAATTCAGAGATAAAGAAATTCATAAACGAAGGGTGCGAACTTTTTACCTTCTTTTTGATTAATGAATAAATCATTTTTACAAAGTAAACTTTATTTATGTAATTAGAGACGTGTCCTATCGCCAGCATTTTCGATAAAGCATCTATCATCCTTAGAACCGTTTATGCACACTTGTATTAATGATTTAATCGCAAAAATTAATGGTGAAATTTCTAAGGGTGGTGGCAAGGCTGATATAAATATTCATTTGTTGATTCAGTATAATGCATTGGTGAGCTTGTTTGAATCGTATGCTATTTAGTTAGTATGGTAAACAGCAATGTAGGTGGCATGATTATTAGTCACTAATTTTTTACGTGTATACGTAATCATTATCTGGCTTGCCTTGCTGTTCTCCCTTTTTTTTAAAAAAAAAAACTATTTGAAGAAGAAGCGATTAAATTAAATTTTAATTAGGACATTATTGGCGAGACTTTATTTGGAGGATCATTTAAATTGGTAACAACTGGAAATCATCCTATGCCGACTAAAGTGTTTAGTGAACTAAAAAGGAGAGTTCTGGTATATATTCTTTAAATATATTCGTCCATATTCATAAATCGTTATTTATAAAATCGTTACTGAATTTCATTTTCTCTTGTTGGAAATCACATTTATTAGAGAAGCCTATTTCCATTTTTCAAACCATTCTTGAAGCAGGATCCTTATCTTATCGATGTAATTGGTCATTTCGTTGTTTTTTTTCTCATTAAAAAAATTGATATATATTTAACTTTTAATTTATTATTTTAACAGTTCACCAACAAAATATTAAAGCAACGTCGACAAGAATCATCGCAAAAAAAGGATTTGTTACAAATGATGTTGGATACTAAAAAACATGAAGATGGTTTAACTGATTTTGAAATATATGATCAAAGTATTGAATTCTTGTAAGCGTTTGGATTTTACTCTTAAAAATGTTTTGGTTTTTCTTCTTTTCTAATTGTTTTTTCTAATTGTTTTTTCTTATGGAAAAGAATTGCGGGGAGCGACACAACAAGCTTCACGGCAACAATGATAATGATATTGTTAGTCAAACATCCTAAAATATTGGAGAAATTGGTTAAAGAAATCGATGAGGCTTTAGTAGGAATTGGTCATGAAGAAGTTCCAACCCATGACAAAATAAAACATCTACCTTACTTAAATGGGGTTATTAATGAAGGGCTTAGGCTCTTCCCTACTAGTAGAGGTATTGTCTTATTTTTTTTATCGACATTTTTATTGCTTACCATATATATAGTTATTAATCACTTTTTATGCCTTAATTGCAGATTTCGGTAATTATACTAATTTTTTTTTTGTTATGTAAAAAGAATATACAGTATATGGTTTAAGTTTTGAAATCATCATTTGTTATTTTTAAAAAGGCCCGGGTAAAGAGGCTACAGAGGATTTAATTCTTGGTGGATATTTCATTCCAAAAGGGGTTAGAACCGATTTCACGTCACATTTTCCTTTACTTCATTATAAAGCATAATTTAAAATTTTATTTTTCTTTTTTAGACAATAGTGATAACGAATACGTTGGCGCTTCATTTATCAAAAGAATATTGGGGCGAAAACTCTGAAGAATTCGTACCAGAACGATGGTTGGAACCTGAAAAATTGACATCTGATTGTTTTATTCCGTTTTCAGCTGGTATGCTTCTGATATTTTTAAAGTAATTTTTTTAAAGTAATATTTGTATTAATGATAAAATTAATATTCAAACCGGAATTTTTAATATAAAGGAACTCGCAATTGCATTGGGCTCAAGTAATTTGAATTTCTTTATTTTTTTGCAATCTTTTAGTATTTTCATATACTAATATTATTTTAAATAGCTTTGCGTGGATGGAACTTAGGCTTAC